AGTTCCTTGTTCTGGTGATTACAGTCAGACAGTCTGACAAGAGAGATGCTATTTAGACAGCTGAATGGAGAGCAGCTGACCACAGGCTGGGGAAGTCATCTTCAGTCCTGTTCAGTTGAAGGCCAATAGTCCCAGTAAGAAATGCCAATTAATTACCTGAAACTGAGGGCAGTTTTGTTTGGCACTGATGGACCTGGAGTCTCTGATGAGGGGAAGAGATATTCAGATAAAAAGAAGATCACAGCAAAGGTCTACATTTTGACCCAAGGAAGAAGAAGGATATGGACAGATGCAGACAGGTATTTAACCTCCATGTTGGCAGAATGCAACAAGGTGTTTTTCAGGGAGTAAGGATACTACATCCAGAGATATTCCAGAAAATATTGAGAGAGAGAAAGTTTGCTTAGCTAACCTATTTGCAACAGTGACAGTAATGGTCAGCAGGTAGCTTAGTTGTCTATTCTCCTGTTTCTGGAACAGGAGAGGGAATGGATAACACCAATGCCAGGGTTCTCTACACTTTTTCTTCCAAATACCAACCCTGCCCGCAAATACACCGCAAATAATAATGTTTCTCAGGATGCCAGTAAGCTTGTTTATCCCATTCTGTTCGAGGAAGCCATTGTTTTCAGCAGTAATGAAAATGAAAACAACCAAAACAAAAACCACCCTTTTATGGCACCTCCCAATGAAAACAGATATGCTGAGCCAATAACTAATCCCTCATCCAGATCCACAGTGGTTATGACTTTGTGCCTGGAGATTGAACAGAGGCATTTGTTGAATATTAGCTAACTAGAGTAAACAGTAGAGATCATCTTGTTTCCAAACATTCCCTCACAAGGAAGATCTGTCAGAAGAGTTGATGGGCATTCAAGCAATGTTTTAGGAGAAGGAACTTTGTGACAATGATAATGGAATTATGGACATTATAGGTTTCTTATAAACCAAACTGAACAAGAAAATGGCAGCAAATACCTTGTGAGGCAGGGCATCATAACAACAACAACAGCAACAACAACAACTTTATTATCATTGTATGTGTATACACAGTATACCCATACAACAAAATTCACTTAACACCCAAAGACCAGGTCCAACACACATAACAATCTCCAAACACCCCGCCACCCACCACAAATTCCCCACCCCTAAACCACCCAAACATCCACACAACAGACCAAGTAATACTGTCCAACAGCTCACTGATGGTAGCCCTTTAGTTCATTGTTGAGTGCAATTATAGCTCTGGGATAAAAATATTCAGAAAACGTGTGGTCCGAGTTTTAATTGTTCTATATCTTCTGCCAGAAGGCAACAGTCCAAGGCATCATTTTGGCTCTGCCTTTTATTGGTATAGTCTGTTCTATTAACTGATTTTTCCATATTTGTAATCATCAGCTCAGATATTAATTTGTAACTCTTGCCCAATTCTCTAATGCAAAGGATTGGATGTCATGCATTTCAAGAATGTTCAGAACATCTTCTGTTTGGCAGGATTCAGACAGACTATATTTTTGGGTGTAATTATTATTAGCAACATTACAAAACACTTTTTAAAAAATATCTGACACTGTGTTCATTTCATTGACACTGTTCTTCTCGTTCTCAGTTAAAGCCATTTACTGATGTCTTTACATAATCAAATGTTTGACTATGCTGCATTGCCTGTCATGCTCTTCGCTGTATGATACCTGGTTACATGCAAGAAAAAGTGTCTTTATATGCAAGCCATTTGTAAACTGAGGAAAATAGGACAAGAAAATCCTGTTGATGTTACCTAATCTGGTAACAAAACCTTCAGAAACTAAATTAAAAAAAGCTTAGAAAACAAACCACTGCCAAAATCTAAAACCTGAGCTACAAGTATTTTCTATTATTTTAAAGTGCCTTCATAGTCAATTACCTTTGTTTTCTTCCAATGACCATAATTAAAATAGCCAAATCTTATTAGGTATGCAATATTTGATATCATATTCATTATATGAATCCCCAATCTCCAGATACCCTATATTAATACTTTAAGAAGCAAATAATGAAAAGTTGCTTAGAAGTAATAACAGCAAATATGATGGCAAAAAACGAATATTGTTGTATTATTTGATATTATTGTCAACTGATAATCAATAAACTCCTGCCACAAAGGAGACACATGGGTAACAGGAGCACTCTGCCAGTTGCAGGACTGCTTTGAGACTACTTGGTGGAGTATGTTTGAACATTTGGAGCTGCAATAATTCACTGATGCTGTACTCTCTTACATTAAAACATGCACAGACAATGTAACAGTGATTAAGTGCATTAGAGTTTACAGTAATCATAAACCCTGGATGTCAGTAGAGATACAATCACTTCTGAGAGCCCGAAACTCCACCTTCAAGGCAGGAAATAAAGACGAATACAATGAGGCCAGGGCAAACTTGAGGAGAGGTATTAAGGCAGCGAAACAGGAATACAAACAAAAAGTAGAGAAGCATCTGGCAGATAATAACCCAAGAGAGGTGTGGCCGGGGTTGCAACATCTAACCAATTACATGGGAAATACAATGAAAACAGCCAACGCAGATGCCCTGTTGGTGGAGGAGCTGAATAGCTTCTTCTTCCTCTTTAAGGTTAAAAGACCTGTCTCTGTGGCTCTAGCTCAAAGGCCCTCTAATCTCCAGCCACTCACCCTGCATGAACATCAAGTGAGAGCTGTGCTGAAGGCCATAAATCCCAACAAAGCTGCAGGTCCAGTCGGAGTGCTGGGGAAAGTGGTAAAAACCTCTGCTGACCAATTAACAGGGGTCCTGACAAGGATTTTTAACATCTCCCTGCAATTGGCTAGAGTTCCATCTTGCTTGAAAGCAGCCACAATCATTCCAGTTCCAAAGAAAGCAGCCATAAACAGCCTGAATGACTATAGACCCATTACATTGACGTCTATAGTGATGAAGTGCTTTGAGAGATTGGTTCTACAACACCTCAGGTCAGGGGTGAGTTCTACTTACCTTTACTACCGGTTCGCAACGGGATCACATGCTTTATTATTTAAACATTAATGCCCAAAGTATGACATATGCAAAAACAGTGTTTTAGAAAATATTTCTATTCCCCAAATCCCTATTTTCATACTGAAAATTTAAACTAGGGGATATCAAACTAGGGGGGGAATAGGTAGTTTAAGAATAGTTAGGCTAATCTAGTTTATGATAGTTAATTGAAATACCCTGTATTTTGCTCTGGGAAGTCTGTGGGGGAGGGTGGGAAAAGGGTGGGGGGAATATGGAGGGGGGAAAATTTTCTTTGTAAAACTTTTCAATTAAAAAAAAACAAAAAAACAAACAAACATCTAACCGTACGTTAATATTGCAAGTCAAAACTCTTCACCTCATATAAATTTACATTAGGAAATCCTCTCCTTCCTTTTTTATTGCTGGTGTGAGAGGTGTTCCTTAAGTGGTCAAAGCATAAGTTATGCAGGCCCCCAAAATACTTAGAAATAACTGCGTAAAAGTGATTTAAGAAAATCTTAAAACAGTTCAGTAGGGACTGAGCTTGCTCAATATAGGACAGGGGACAGAGGACAGTATCAATGTTTAGGGCCAAAATTATTTACTTTCTTACTTGCTTGACATTATAGGCAGCTCCTATCCTAAGATTTTGTCAAAAAGAGCCAGGTCTCTGAAATACAACAGGAATGGGACTGCATAGCACTTAGCATTTAGACTTATATACCACTTCACAGTGCTTTAGAGCCCTCTCTAAGCAATTTACAGAGTCAGCACATTGCCCCCAACAATCTGGCTCCTCATTTTAGAATAGAATAGAATAGAATTTTTTATTGGCCAAGTGTGATTGGACACACAAGGAATTTGTCTTGGTGCATACGCTCTCAGTGTACATAAAAGAAAAGATACGTTCATCAAGAATCATAAGGTACAACACTTAATGATAGTCATAGGGTACAAATAAGCAATCAGGAAACAATATCAATATAAATCATAAGGATACAAGCAACAAAATTACAGTCATACAGTCATAAATGGAAGGAGATGGGTGGTGGGAACGATGAGAAGATTAATAGTAGTGCAGACTTAGTAAATAGTTTGACAATGTTGAGGGAATTATTTGTTTAGCAGAGTGATAGCATTCGGGAAAAAATGTGCTTGTGTCTAGTTGTTCTGGTGTGCAGTGCTCTATAGCGTCGTTTTGAGGGAGGAGTTGAAACAGTTTATGTTCAGGATGCGAGGGGTCTGTAAATATTTTCACAGCCCTCTTTTTGACTCGTGCAATATACAGGTCCTCAGTGGAAGGCAGGTTGGTAGCAATTGTTTTTTCTGCAGTTCTAATTATCCTCTGAAGTCTGTGTCTGTCTTGTTGGGTTGCAGAGCCAAACCAGACAGTTATAGAGGTGCAGATGACAGACTCAATAATTCCTTTTACCAACCTTGGAAGGATGGGAGGCCAAGTCAACCTTGAGCCAGTGAGAATCAAACTGCCGAACTGCTGAGAGCAGTCAGCAGAAGTAGCCTGTAGTACTGCATTCTAACCACTGCGCCACCACATCCTGGATGAACTGTTCCAGAGAAAGGGAAAACCAACCTATCACTGATATTCTAACATGCCCCTCTCTTAATTCGCACTAGATAGAAAACAATTGGAGTAAGCAGCCTCATAAGATACTCTGGCCCAAAATTATAAGGTTTAAAGGTAATAATTATCTTTGAATTGCACCCAGAAGTCAACTGATAATCAATAAACTCCTGCCATAAAGGAGACACATGGGTAACAGGGAGAGAACCCATCACTACATGAGCTGCCACATTTTGAACCAGCTATAGGTTCCAAGAGGTCTTCAAGTACAGTCCATGTAGAAGTAATTACAGCAGTCAAGAAATGAGGTGAAAAGGACAGTGAAAGTGACCTTCCATAACCAACACAGAAACATTCCATATGGCTATATTCTGTTACAAATCTCTCTTTTTTTTAGTATTTATAGCATGTTTGTTTGCTCTTACCTAGAAAAGCAGAGGGTGAGACAGTCCCGTTGCTTCTGGCTACCATGACACTAATGCCCGTCTCCACAAAAGGTACAGAAAAATCAATAATTTGTGAGCGTTCCTCGTTGATGGTGAGAGATCCAATGGCCATATCTGCTCGCTTGTAATATACCTGGGAGGGTGAGGAACAGAGAGAGAGAGAGAGGGCATGAATAATAATGTCCTTCAACAGAACCAGCTCCAAATGGATCTTATACTATAGAGATAAATTTCTGCTTGCTTTCATTCTAATCTTAGCAAACTAAAGGGTGAAAGGTAAATATGAGCTGAAGTTCAACTGTGACTCTTGGTGAGTCTGTGAATATATCCATATAGTTTCTTGGAAACAGTATGTACATGGTTTGGTTGTCTTTGAGCCAGAGTTGTGCTTCAAGATAAGCAGCCATAAATTCTGTTAAATAAACAAATGTGTCTTCTTCCACAACTTCTTTTTAAAACTTCCCAATGTAGCCCACAGCCCTGTTATTTTCTCTGGAGGTCTCCCAATTCAAATTTTAACCATGCCCAACCCTTCCAAGCACAGACAAGATGGGACGGGTGCTGCCCCCTGTTGAGGATGAGCCTTCGTGTCTATGCAGACTTGCTTGGTAATAAGACACACAGAACTCTGTGGGACTTATTTTCAAGTGGGGGGGGGGAAGGTTGTACCTCAAGGAGACCTCTTTGCATGGCAACCCTACAGATAGAATGATACTACTGTAGGAAGTTAGCACTCACCCCTCTCCTAGAAGAATGAAATGTTTTAGGAAATATTAAAAAAGGCAGAACATTATATTTCCCTGGATGAGAAATGGAGAAACATGTTTTAAAGACAAAGCAGCTTCCTGCCTCCCCACTTTTGTCAATGGGCCATTAAGGCCTCAGCCAAGCTCACTCATTTCCCCCCACCTTTGTCAATGGGCCATCATTTGCAACAGAATAGGACCCATCTAGCAACAGAAACTCACCACATGGCAAGACTCAAGCAAGCTTGAGAGACAACCTACAAAGTTAGCTAAGACCCCTAGACCACCTGGGAGTTTGACAACCAATCAGGATACATTTCTTATACAGGAACAAGAAACTCAGAGGTGGGGCCCAACAGAGGGCATAAAACCAAGGCATTCCCAGCGTCTCGGATCTCAGGAACTCAAGCCATGTGATTCCTGTCCACCATTAAACCATTTTTCCAAGCAGTCTCCATGTTTCCAGTGTCTCCCTCCCTCCCCCCTCTCTCTCTCCCTCCCTCTCTCCCTCCCTCCCTCCCTCCCTCCCTCTCTCTCCTAACCCTAATCTAGGTGAGAAATCCTAAACCATGCTGCTAGATTAGGAGTCAGCACCTAATCCCAATCAGCACCAAGAGGTAGGGCTCTTGACACTCAAGCAGCCTGTTATCTTATTCAAAGGATGGCCTAATCACAGAGCAGTGGGGGAGCACAGGGATGAAGACAGATTCTTAAGTTGCATGTAGTGGAAGGTATGCCTTTTACACATGCTTCGCCAAAGACAAGAGACTTCATTCCCATGTTAGCATAGCTCAATGCCAACCTGAATATAAGATTCTAGCTCCATTTCACATTCCATAAATTTGCCCAGGAAAGAGAGTAACTCCCTATTTCTAAAGCCATCTTCTTAAGCCTGCCATCTCTTAAGGCTGAAGCCCACAGACAAAGTTGAGGACTACTGAGTGGTGGGTCTTCTTTCTCATTGAGGGATGCAAGAAGGATGTATGTGCAGGGAGGTAGTTATAGAGTTTTCATTGCCTTTGGTCTAAGCTAAATCAGCCTTTAGGAATGTGCTACAGTTCGGAAGGATTGCATTACTTTAGAAGAGAACCAAAGTTGCATGTCTGCTTTTATTTTCTCCACATGGAGAACTTCTGACAAATACCAGTGTACTAAACCTGTAGGTGTACATGGTTAAAATCCAAACAATGAGGCTTTTAGGATACCTAATTCCTTACCTCACCAATCATGCCATTCCAGAAACCATCCACTATTTTACCATGTTTTCCATTTGTCACCAGGTAGAGATCATAGGAGAACTTCACCGTCTTGGCTAGTTTCTTTAGGATGTCAATGCAAAAACCTTTGCAGCAGAGTTTGGTATATGGGTCCATAGGTTCAGTCCCACTGAAAAAAGATGAGAAGGCACTCAACAATCACACTGAACCTCTGTGTCTTCGAAGCAAATCATGCCAGGACTATGTACAATTGCTCAAATCAAAGCACTGAGACATCCTGAACCTAAATCGCTATGCCCTGATATGTTCCCTTAGGGTGACATTATAGTCACTAGCCCAATTCCTCTATTCCAAAATAAAAATAACTAAACCGTTACTGGGATGTGGTAGTCCTGTATCCTTATTGCTATCTATAGTCCTGTTGTCTTTAGAAAAACACAGTCATAAATAATCAGCTTGCCAGCTTAGCATGGCACTGAATAATGGGCATGCCATCACAGGATATGACACATTGTAAATGAGCTGTGTAACTTCATCAGTGGTTAGAATGGGTAATGTTCCACATTTGTTATTTTCTGGAGCATCTCCTTGGTGTGAGGGCCATAACGGAAGGCAGGGATGCCTACACACAAATGCTCAGACACACTCCAGCTGTCAACATGGACTTTTTCTATTATTATTCTCTAAGCCAGGGATGTGTAGTCTTAGATGTGTATGTGTTTGTGTGGATAGATAGATAGATAGATAGATAGAGAGAGAGAGAGAGAGAGAGAGAGAGAGAGAGAGAGAGAGAGAGAGAGAGAGAGGGGCAGACCGACAGATTGACAGACAGATAATGGATGGATGAATAAAAATACCAACTCCAATCTAAACATCTGGCTAGCTGTGCAATGCACCATAACATATTTTTAAGAATGTTTACATAAGTAAAAGCAAATATAAAGAAAAAAATGAAGAAAAAAGAGAAAGAAATATAGAGAAAGAAGAAAATAAGCAAAGAAAAGCAAAAAGAAAAGCAAAGAAAAATAAGCAAAGCAAAGAAAAATAAGAAAGAAAAATAGTTAAAGAAACAAGAAAAATATGCTACTTCTGACCTTTTCAATAGTTATACTCATTATTCTTTCTCCCTCTCGATATTACAAAAATCTTTTCAGTCAACTCTGATATCTTTACAATCAGTTCCTCCACTGTAAGAATTTCAGTGTTCCTTCAAAGAAGCTCACTTTCATTAAATGAAACATAAAAACAAAAATCCTAAGATTCACCATTTGGAGTGAAGTAGCAAATAATGACTCATAAGGGCAAGGACTTACTACAAATTCAGAAGCAGGATGCTCCTGAGAATTTTAGAATGATACCAGACTCTAGCTCGCTAGTCCTTTTACACAATAATCCATTTTTTGCTTTTCCTAAGCAATCAAATTTAGGATGGGAAAATATGTTAATTTTGCAAAGTACATTACAATAAACTTAAGGAGATGATATGCTACCTTTGTCATCAAGACGGTTGTTAATAACATCTATGACAGCTTATGGACCCAAGAGGAGAAGAAAGAACATAAGGAGGGCCTTGATGGATCAGGCCATTGAACCCAGGATCCTATGTCACCTAGTGGGCACACATCAGAAGTATCCAAGATTTTTATCAATAGGACTGTGGTGGAATCATATGATATTTAGCGTACTATCCAGCAACAGCAGAAGATATGATAGGAAAGAAGTTGGAGCTCCTGCGGTTGAAGGAAAATTTACCAGGCAAATCTCCTTAAACAGGAAGCACTCACAGCTTCCTCCTTACAAGGAGGCTTGGAATAATGTTTGTTTTTATATTTTTAATACTGTTGCATGGATTGGCTTCAAATTTGCTTCCTGATTGGGAGAAGGAGGCCTCCTCTTCCCCTTCTCATATTTATTTTTGCTATTGAAAATTGACCATTTTGCAGACTTTTGAGGGGAGGTATGGTAAACTGAAGACATCTTTATGAAAACAGAACCAATGAGCACAGTTAAGACCAAGGAACTGGTAAATAGACTGATTCCTTGGAACCTCTCCAGATAAGGAGAGGATGAGAGATCACCCACCTGTGCTCCAGATGGCTGTTTCTCATGAGGAGACTGCAAGACAGCAGTTTCCCACAGGTTTGAGTACACAGGATGAAGAGATTATAAGTGGAATAAGGGTCCAGATTAATTTGGAAAATTGTCTTTTACTATAAGATTCTGAAATTTAGTATACAAAATAAATAGCTTCTTTTGGGAAACAGACATATTTTAGCTATCCTGGTTATGGTTAAGTCATAACAAAGAGATTTTAGAAACTGGACACTAGAGGAGACTAAAGATTCTAAGCGGAAAGAAAAAAATTATAAGCCTGTTCATGATGTCAGTTAAAACTGGGATTTACAGAATGACACAAAACATTATAGCATCAGAAACATTAAAGAGGATCTTTGAAGAACGAAGCCAGAAACTTCTATTGGCTTTCAGTTTAAATTTATTAGGGGAGAAGTAACTTTCTCCATTGAGCAGGAACGTTGATGACACAATCTTGATTAGAGAATTGCAGAGGTCAGCAACAGGCAAATGATTAAAAAGCTCAGCCTCTGGGCCCCAACAGGTATGAATGCAGATTGATTGCTAGTGCCAGCTACTTACCTCCTTCAACCAGCCATAGCCTTTAATCTGCAAACCAGGTTATCCACTGTAAGCTTCCAGGAATCATGACTGATTATTCACCGCTCAGCCTGAAGCAGAAACATGAACCCATTCCTGGTTCTGTTCAACACTGACCAAGGAAACCCCCTTTAAACTCTTCAATATTTTAAATCACAGCTAGATAATCTCAGTTTTGCAATCCTGAGAATCTGAATTTAACTGCAGAATTCCAATTCCAGCTGCAAAAAGCATGGCTTCTTGCTACTTCAGGAAATAGTGGTCAAAATAGGACAAACACACTTTAAATTGCAAACTATTACTCCCAATCCTTTCTCTTAAACTTGGGAACAAAAAGAGTAATCTGTTATTCCCCCACATACATAATATAGCCATATTTGTTTTGCATCACCACTCTATCTTGACTTGACTTCAGTCATGAAAATTACCCATGTTTCAGAGGAAACAGCATTTTCTGCTCCTCTAAAACTATCAATGTTTTATTTTCAAACATCGCTACAAAATTACAGCTACTTTTATTAATATGAAGCAGAGATTCTTAGCCTGGGGTCTACAGACTCTTGGGGAATCAATGAATAAATTTCACGGGGTCCATGAACTGGGATGGGGGGGAAAAACCTTCATTTCCATAACCTATAATTGAAATTTAGCATTCAACAAATAATATATGCAATAAAATGGCCTCTAGATTTCAAAACTGTTTGTTAACTTCAATCTCATTATCTAAAACCAATATGCCCTTAAAAAGCACACCCAATATATGTGGTTGAGTGAAGTACTCTCAAAGGAGGCCATGGTATCTGGTGTAAAATACGTTGAAATTGAAGCCAATAAATGACAATAGTCCTAACATGTAGATACTTGCAACTGTAAAGGCCCTAGGTCATGCCAAAACGGGGAGAAAGGCTGGTAAGAGTAAAAACAGTTTGCAGCTAACTAGCATTTTGACTGTGGCATACAGGAGTAATTTTCCCTGTTAAATGTTTCAAAATTGAGATCTCCATTGACTGATAATCATTTTCATCAATCAAAACAACTTTTACTTCTAGTATCACCTTAGGAAGCGCACAAATGGCATTCCAAACAAATGGCAACTATTCTTCCATCCATGACCTAATATCCATCATGTTTGTGTTCATTTTATGCAAATTTAGTTAACAGCATGAGATCAATTAAAATATAGCAATTCTATTCATGTACCCTGCTCTTTATATGCCTCTATTAGGATTCATATTGTTTCAGACAGAGGTACAGAATAGGCACTAGGGAATATATTTTATCATATTACCAGTGCCAATCATTCCTTGACCCTGCTGGCTGGGAGGGATGAAACCTATAATCCGACACATCTGATGGGCAGCACGTAAGGAAAGGTTGCACAGTAGCGTCTTCTGGGCAATGTGGTTGAACTGAAAGCCATCCCAACACTACTGACTTGAATGCTAAACTTGGTCCCTCCCCCCATGATTTAGAGGGGTTGCCTATCCTGAATTTATGCTCTAATTTGGAAAGTTTTCAAAGCTTGCAGCAGTTACTATTCAGGCTTCCTCACCATTCCTTCTTTCATGGAAAATCCAACAGAGTGAAGGATTGGCGTGTTTCAAGCATACTGTTTAAAGAAAGGACACCCTCTCTCAGATGTTTATCCAAGTTGGATAAACATTTCCATCTTACTAGTATGCCAATAAGAAGATAGAAGCAGCAGCAATACTGGATAGACTAATGCATAAGTGACACACAGGTTCTGCTATTGAGGGAGATACTCGGCTGATAACCTTTAGTTTCAGTTAACCTAAAGGGTTAAACCTAAATTATTAAAGCTGCTTCAACATTTATCTGATTCCCTTGGTGAGTCGTGGAACGTGGACATCGGGGTTCCAAATTTCACTATCATAATCATAAAGTTAATAGATTGTGCCTCCCTTTCTATGACAGATAAGTAGGGCTAAATCTCCCATAATTCCTAGGCAACACAATCAAAGACTGAGGGATGTCCTGATCTGGAATTGTGGAGGAGTTGTCAATCCTATCTGAAGGCACCAGACTGGAAAAAAATTTATAATGAAACAGAAGGCAAGTAAAAAACAAAAACAAATGAATGATGGTGAACAGTGAAGTTAGCAATTAGTTTAGGAATAAAATTAATGTAACTGGTCTTACATGAGAAAACATGTTGGGGTTTCTGGGAAAAGATATACATTGGAAGCCAGCCCCCTCCTCCCTTTAGCAAGCCAACCCTCTGTTGGCTCCAGTACTGCTTTCTCCTGTTCCATCCTTTGAATTCTTCCCTCTTGTTTACCTTACGGAGGAGTTGGTCTGTTTCCGGCAAGGGACTGTATTGCGGACACATACTCCAGTGGAAGGATCTGTGTTCTCCACAATCACAAATGGTCTTTCTTCAAGGGTAGCCACTGTGAGGTGGCGATTATCTGACATGGGCTGCAGGAAGGATCCATAGCGTGGCCACACTGGATATTCCATACGGATAATTCCCTTTTCCCATTTCCCCACCTGTGCAGTAGGAAAGGAGTGGGGGATGCTGTTTGAACCATGTAAATAGAGTGCTTTTGGATTTTTATATACCATTATCAATAGGTTATGTAAACAAGGCTCCTTGAGAATCGTTATCATCATCATCATCGTCGTCAACAACATCAGTGGAGGAGGAGACCATAGGGAAGAAGAATCAACTCTCTTTCTTACTTTATAGTTTAAAGCAAACCAGCAGCATGAAGTGATCCCTACAAAATTAAAATACGGTATATATACCAGGACAGATTCTAGAGCTCTGGGACTGGATACCGTTGACAGTCTTTGCTCTACCCAGAAAAATATCTATAGCCTTTGGGTAATCATAATCTAGAACAATTTGCCAAACAGTTTGACAGTAATCACTGAATAATGAGTGATCTGAGACTATTAAGGTTCCATCTGTTTTATATGGATACAGCAGTTAGACATTTTATTTCTGTTATCCTCATGGATGGTGATCATTTTTGCACTCGTGCTGCAAATGGCATTAAGCTACAGCACTTCGCAAATAGATAATACTATATTAGCTTTAAACTGTGCTGGATTTTTAAATGACCCCATGGAAATAGTCTAGGTAATTATATTTATTTACAAAGATTGGAAATGAATGGGATATAACTCCTAGCAGAAAAAAATTAGATTTAAAATGGAGTAATGGGTACAGAATTGTTGTTGTTGTTCCGGGAATATTTGAGCAACTCCAATAAGTAATTATAAAATGGACAACCTTGCCATTAAGCCTGTTCTCATTAGGCTTCTGCTCTCCATTTGCGCTGTTACTTGTATTCTTTTTACTTAGACACTGCAGCCAACCACTGAGAAATGCACCACCGCAGAAAACTTGAGGGCTAGTGTATTATTTTCCTTACTGAAATAACAATTGTTCAAGAAAAAATATTATCACGGCATAGGTTAAAATAAAGAGCTCTGGTGGCATAGTGGTTATAATTCATTACTGCAGGCTACTTCTGCTGACTGCTAGCTGCCAGCAGTTCAGCAGTTCAATTCTCAAGGTTGACTCAGCCAGCCATCCTTCCAAAGTTGGTAAAATGAGGACCCAGATTGTTGGGGGCAATATGCTGACTCTGTAAACCACTTATATAGGGCTGTAAAGTACTGTGAAGCATTGTATAAGTCTAAGTGCTATAATCACTCTACTTATTGCTATAATCACTCTACTTATTGCTATAATCACTCTACTTATGCATGGAAAGCAAGGGGGGAAATCTATTTATCAATATGCTAGGATAGTCATCCCCCTCATGAATAACCTTTTGTGTGAGAATAGGTGAGGGAAAAACAGAAAACAGAATAACAGAGTTGGAAGGGATCTTAGAGGTCTTCTAGTCCAACCCCCTGCTTAGGCAGGAAACCCTACACCACTTCAGACAAATGGTTATCCAGTATCTTCTTTAAAAAAATGCTCCAGTGTTGGAGCATTCACAATTTCGGGAGGCAAGTTGTTTCACTGATTAATTGTTCTAACTGTCAGGAAATTTCTCCTTAGTTCTAGGTTGCTTTTCTCCTTGATTAGTTTCCGCCCATTGCTTCTTGTCCTACCCTCAGGTGCTTTGGAGAATAGCTTCACTCCCTCTTCTTTGTGGCAGCCCCTGAAATATTGGAACACTGCTATCATGTCACCCCTAGTCCTTCTTTTCATTAAACTAGACATACCTAATTTCAGCAACCATTCTTCATATGTTTTAGCCTCCAGTCCCCTAATCATCTTTGTTGCTTTTCTCTGCACTCTTTCTAGAGTCTCCACATCTTTTTTACATCGTGGCGACCAAAACTGGATGCAGTATTCCAAGTGTGGCCTTACCAAGGCAGAAGGGGAGGGAGGGAGGGAGGGAGGGAAGGAAGGAAGGAAGGAAGGAAGGAAGGAAGGAAGGAAGGAAGGAAGGAAGGAAGGAAGGAAGGAAGGAAGGAAGGAAGGGACCAAGGCTTTGTATGGCTAGATCAAAGTCGTAAAAATGTAACAGACACTATAATATGGCCTTGTTGGATTTTGTGAAATAGCAATAGCATTTAGACTTATATACCGCTTCACAGTGCTTTATAGCCCTCTCTAAGCAGTTTACAGAGTCAGCATATTGCCCCTAACAATCTGGGTCATCATTTTACCCACCTCAGAAGGATGGAAGGCTGAGTCAACCTTGAGCCTGGTGAGATTCGAACTGCCAACTTGCAGGCAGCCGGCAATCAGCAGAAGTAGCCTATAGTACTGCACTCTAACCACTGCGCCACCATAGAAATACCAGAAATGAAGTAGGATGTTTTCAAGCTTTTAAAACATTCTTAAAATTCTTGCTAGTTTACAAATTATGTTTTTACTAGATAGTATTAAAATATATAGGTGTATGTATATTTGAGTCCGTGCATCTTATGTATACACATATGTACATATAATAAAAATGACAATTAAAAAAAAACTTGTTGCATTATCATGGCCCAAGAAAACAAGAAGCACTTAGGAACATTTTGTTTGGGATTTCCAGAGGTTCACCAATCTTAGCTTAACTATAGAATGAATATTATGCCCCCTGTTCTAACTTATTTTTTTTAAACTATTGCAAAAAGAAAGAAGAAAACTGGACATTTAACACATTACTAAAGTGTTGCAAAAATCAAAAGGCTTTCATTTAATAGTTACACAACATTACAGTAGATGCAGGTGTTTCCCCTCTTGGAGAAAACAGAATAATAGAAATAGGGCCTTTTTCCTTAGTCAATGCACATTCTCCATATGACAGCAAGAGCCTTTGAAGGACAGCCCTCAAAATTATGTTACTCTTCCAGAAATACTTCCCCAAAAGCTTGAAATTCATTAAGCATTTCTTTTATTTTTTAAAAAAAGTTTAAATTAAACCTTACATTTTTCCATTATGTTTCAAGCCAAATTCTATTTATTTATAATGGTTTGAGACCTCTAAATAATTCCTTTCAAATTTGGTTTTACTTTTATTCTCAGTGGAACTCAATAGAATATTATGATATAAGAAAAAAGAGTTAATATAAACTGGAGAATTGGGGTGGGGGAAATTTTGTTTATCATCTGGCATGTCTCCTAAACCCTTCATCCATGGAGTATTGGAAGCAGCTAAAAGAACAGTTTATCCTAAAGTTGAAAATGTAGATAAATTTTAAATGTTTGAGTAGAATTGTATTCTTTATTCCTAACAGAATTATTGAAAACTCAGTAATAAATTACTATGACATATGGAAAACACTTGAACAGAGAAAGTCATATCATAAAGGAAAAGTGATAATGGAAAGCAATTATACAAATAGCTCATTTAATTAACACCAGTATCTTTCTACTAATAGTGTTCATCTCTTTCAGATTATTTTTGTAATTATCCAAAGATAACATAAAACCCAATCAGATATACTTAGATAATCCGCAAAGAGGGAAAATTGGAGAAATACTTAAGATACCACAAGCAACTTGTTTTCCTTTGTGATTTTTTTGCCAGTTGTAATATAGAAAATTACATTGCAGATGCTTAGATGTCCATTTGTGTATATGGAGAGCAGGAGAGTAACCTCATCAATATTCTCTCATTAAGAGAAATACATAATTGCTGGAATAGATTCTAGCAAAATTGATGGTGCAATCTAAATGCCCAGCTAGCTAAAATCATTCTAATATTCCTCCAGTTTTCTGGAATATTCTAAGGAAATGGGATGAGAGCTTCAGAGCTAACAGATATGGAACATTCCTCAAAATTAAAAACCTAGTCAGAATAAATGAAATGACCTTGGAATGGCAGAAATTGCAACAAAAAATTTAATGTGGGCTCAGGACATTTTATTTGAGATGCAGCAGCAAACAAAACATCACATTATTTTATATAAAAATAGTCCCTTTTGTTGCTTAAATTGTTGCCTTGTTTTAAAATGTGATCATTTGGGCTGATTTGTGAGGAAGAAAATAAATGGACAGTTGCATGTTACTCCTACAACATAACATGCAGTCTTTCTCACACGAAAGGTTATTCATAAAGTAAACACAAGTAAAAATTCTTTGCTGTTTGAGATAGAACTTAATTCAATTACTGTTGTCCCTTCAGGATAAATGAATATCAATGACCTACGGTGGCTTCCTCACTTAGCTTAATGGTACAACCTACCCTGTGAAGCCTAGGCTACATCAAACATGGACATGATATGTGATATAACCATGTAAATTAACATGCAGAGTTTTGAAGCCAAATATCTAAATAAATTTCTCTCATTGAACACTTTTTCTTCTGAAGAGCACTGATCATACTCTCCAGAAAAAGGACAATTTGGGAAGCACTTATCTTTTGGATTGACACCGATATTAATGATGTTGTGGTTGACTCTTAATGAAAATTTATCCTTTTTTTCTGGGAAAACAGTAATTTATTGGCAAGCTTTATAATATGCCTACATGTTCTTTAAAACCTAATCCCTGGTACATAAGCAGTTTAAGCCAATCTGCTTTCACAACATTTGTCGAGTTTTATTTTTTAATTCAATTTTTAATGACTGGAAAGAAACAACAAAGTCATCTTGCACAACGAGCATTCATCCAACTGAGTTATGTGCCTTATGGCATGTGATGCATCAAGACTCCATTGCAAATTAAATAAATTAGTTGCAAACATACAAAATAAACGAATCTAAAAATTCATTTCATGGTGCTTCAATTTGTTTATCAAATGAAATTATTTATTTTAATGACAGAGTAAAAAAAAGCCTGCACTGCGCAAGTAAGAAGGACAATAAGAGTGACTTTTGGGGACAGTCAATTGCCAATTCTTGCTCAGAATTCTCAGACCTGCCAGCCTTCTGTTACAAAAGCCAGAAAGAAATTGGGCTGTTTTAATGAATTCCAGAGAGGTGCCTAGGCCTGACCTAGGTATAAAAGCAGTTCTTACGAATCATATGTCAGTTGTGCGTAGCCCTAATATTCATAACAGAGATAAGATTTTAAATACGATTGAAGAGTTTTTGAGTCAGTCTTTCCCATTTGGCATTTTCCAAAATGTTGGTTTTGTGGTCTTGCTGGCTGGGAATTCAGACAGACATGGTCTCTCTGTATCTGAAGCAGTGGTGGTTTCAACCGGTGTTACCACCAGTTCGCTTCATGCACACACTCCATGCAAGCGCAGAGTATTAAGGAACAGCTGAGATGCGGCAATCTGCTCTGCCGCACCTTTCAGCTGGCTAAAAATGACTGAATATATGGTATGTATAACGCAGGGGCGAGCGGGAGGGCCAAACTAACCGTCAGAGAGAACTGGTTCTCTCTCACCTCACCAACTCCGTTACCAGTTCGCACGAACCTGGGAGAACCGGTAGCAACCCACCACTGATCTGAAGAAGAGGTGGTGGTATCTTAATCTAAAGAACTCCCAGGTACGTAAATATCCTCCACTGTTTCCAGTTGCAAGTAAATTCAATGGAAAATAAAAGTAGACAAATGATATGAAGCCAGATTGGCTTCATCTGCTTATGTATCACAATTAGGTTTACATTAGATCCAAAGCAGTTCTTTCAATCATTGTCAAAGCCTGCATAGCCCTAATAGATATTAGGGGATGTTGCAATGTAAACTTAAAACTGGGGGTGAATTATAGACAAACCCATTTGTAGAACAAGGAAACTATAGTTCTAAGAGACTATGCACTTAAGGCAAGATGATGGGCAGGGAGGGAGAGAGGGACAGGGGAAGGGCCTTACCATCTCCCAGAGTCGATGCCGGTTCAATGAAATCACCACCATGGTGGGCCTCACCAAGTAACCACCTCTGTTGAAGGAGAAATCCCTGTTGTCCCATGTCACATTGAGTAAATGCCTATGGAGAATGAGGAAAGCCATTAATCTTATGTTTTTTGGTATAACACTTTCATTTCTTTTGAAAGCAAATGCTCCCAAATTGGCCTGGCTTTATCTTGTACAAGATGGCAAATGGACACTTTATACCAAGGCCCGTCCTTGCTGCCAGCTAAGATCTCTGAGGTCTCAGATGCCAAACATAAAGTGGGAGAAAGTATTTTAATTTTGCAAATTAAATTATTTTGCAGATCTGGCTATGAAGAAGATATTTATTAGCTAAAGCTGTACGGTGATCTTTTCATTTCCAAGACACAGGAAGGGAGCTTCTCCACTTTTAGCCTCACAGGCCTTCAAAGTGGATGAGGCTGGAAAAGCCACTCAGCAATTACCACCAACAAGAGAGAATTCCAAACCAGTAGCATCCACTGTCCTAGCACCAGTTCTCAGGGGCACTGCCATCCATTCGTTGCCCCATGTAAAAAGGGGCACCATCCCCATGTGATTGGTGGTACTGCAAAATATCAGCAGCAGCAAATATTGATCTGCCTATCCAGTGGACTTCTCCCAGACTTTGTAATTGCTACAGATGACATTGTCTTTTTGTGGCCTACATTTTAAGCGTACGTAAGAAAGATCTGTTTTTTAGTGCATTCAATGCAGCTCTTAATTCTAGATGATGAACCAATTTAAAAATGAAGATAAAATTAAAGTAAAATAGGCTCAGAGTGCTGCGATTATATTCTGAGTTCCATTTTTTTTAAACAGAGGAGCATCAGTGTAGCATAGCTACAGTGCTTTGCTTCAGGACTTTGCTGGTTGCTCACTCTTACTGTCGCTGCTTCTTGGAGATGAAGTTTCCTGATGCAACTGATCTCAAACAGAGAGGAGTGTTGGGTGGGACGGCAGTAATAACCACTTGGTTTGATCTCTCCACATGCTTCATCCTAGTATTCCTCTCTTCCTTCACTCCCTTGGTGGTATAGGTAGTCCCCAACTTATGACCACATTTCTGTTGCTAAGGGGATCATGTGATCCCAAGATGCTGTAACCATCATAAATATGAAACAGTTGCCAAGTATCTCAGTTTGATCAGGTGACCATGGGGAAGCTTAAATGGTCGTAAGTATGAAAAATGGTCATATGTCACTTTTTTTCAGTGCTTTCGAAGGGGCACTAAATAAACTGTTGTAAGTCAAGGACTAGCTGTAATTATAATCCCTCTTCTTTGAAAGGGAAGAGAGAGTGTCTCTTCTGTGGTCTAGATCCGGTCCTTGGGGCCACCCTGGAAACAGCAAAGGACTGGCCTGCGGTACCTCTGCCAGCGAAAACGGAGATCGGGAGCCTGTTTTTGCTGGCAGAGTGCTCAGGCCACCACAAGTGCCCCCAACATGAGTGAAGTGCCCACCCTGGCCACACTCACCCCAGCTCCCTGAGGTCAAACACAAACCTGATGTGGCCCCCAATGAAATCAAGTTTGACACCCCTGCTATAGCTTAGTGGTATGATGTCAAATGTGTCCTTGTTCCTACAAAATCAAGTGCTCTGAATTTCAGAAATAAAAGACTTGGGTCATTCTTTAAGACCAAACAGTTATCATGGCAGATACACTTCATCAACCCACTTCATCATGATTGAGAATGTCATTCATTCCCAAAGTCCAGAAATGATAGAATTTGAGGCATTTTTGAAAACTTTTTTAAATTAATAGTTATAAAGTTTGAACTGATTCAGAGCCCATCCATTTTAAATCAGAATTCAGAAACAAGAATTTGTTCTTAGGCTGTTGAAGAGCAGGATAAGTGTGCACAATGTATATAACTTCTCTGATTGCTCCTAAAACCGCTAAGCTTCTCTTGCTATGGTTGCACTCTTCTCCACTGACTATACTCTTCCATTGGATAAACATGCCTTTTCACCATTTCAGAAATTCTCACTGTGCATATATTCAGCCTGAAGAATTCTTATTATTGAACATGCAAATATCTGGCTGTGAGAAATGCTGAGGAGAGATGTGTGTTAATTTTTAAAGCTACGGTTATTAAATTATAGAAATCTAAGAAGCCTTATTAGGATTACCGCTAAACTGCCTCTCACATAGATGAAAATGCCCATTATTTCATGATGAAAGATCATTGTCAATCAAATTCTGATTTCTAATACACACCCACAAGCATCAGTTTAAATCAATGTTACCTCTATACTGACCTATAGAAAGTGTTTGTTGGTGCGCTAGAAGGGGTTTTGCTATTGCAGTCTCTACCCACGATGGGGAGATAGCCATGGGCGTTGAAATAGCTCTCAGCTCCGATAGCAATGATAGCCACTCCATCCCGGACCTTTTGTCTCAGGTTCATTTTCCAGCTTTCAGTGGCCACGCTGACGAGGCCAATAGGGAATGAGGTAGGTGGCACATCCATGTTGCCCACTGTTAGACTAGGCACAATCCAGACATAGCCAGGGCCGATCAAACCGGCCTGCTCGACCACCTGGAAGAGGAACTCTGCCTCATCTTGTGAACAATAGACGATCATGACTTGAGCGTCTATCTGGCGCAGCAGCTTCTGCAGTTTGGAGATGCTCGTATCCTGGGACATCTCAAAGGTCAAGACATCCTGGATCTCCCAGCCAAAATAGCTGGTGTCTGTGAAGGACCGAATTACATCCAGGAAGATGCTATATCCTGGATAGAGGCTGGTGATAACAGCGAAGGAGCTCCAGTCGTATTCCTCCAAGACTTTGAAGATCACTTGTATCTGTTGTTCAATTGAGACACCCAACTGTAGAAAGGCAGAGCCAGGCTCCTAGGAAAGAGAGAGAGAAAGAGAGAGAGAGAGAGAGAGAATGAAAGAGGATAAGCAAGATTTCAGCAAACAATGTATATTTCTTGATATCTTAACTAAGCCTCCCCCAACTTGGTGTTGTACTTCAGTTTCCATGATTTTTTCAATCAGCGTGGCCTCTATGCAAGTGAATGTGACCTACCTGAAAAATTGGGGAAAGCCATCCATAGCCATTATCTCAGAATAGTGGCCTTGATGAACATTTTTGTTACTATTTCTAACACTTTCAAATTGAGGACTGGTATAGCATGTTGCAGCTATGAAGTCAGAAAATTCATCCTGCTTTTCAGCCTTGCCACATATTGCCTCATAAAAATGGGACATATCAGGATATCTGCTTTCATATGAGTCACTTCCAAGTAAAATCAGAAAGCATTATCACCACTACAATCTCTAAATCTATTGTGAACTTAAATTACAGTAATCATTTCTTAACCAATACCTACTAGGTCTGCTTCAGCAACCCTGTATCGGGTATTCTGACTCATTGTGCCTTTTTAAATTCCTAATTCCCACCCTTTATGTTTGATTGCATTTCACACTATTTCCCCTAATATAGATAATACACATACATAGGAGACCCATGTAGAGAAAACAGTAATTTTCCTGAACTCTAAACTACTGAATAAACACCATACAGCAATGGAATATACCATAGACTTTAAAACAAAACATGAACCTTCACTTTTTCTTCCCAAACTTAAGAATGTTCAGTATAATATTTTGTAGAAAGATCATTTATCACATTTTAATAGTTTTCTAAAGAAATCAGTATTAATCTTTATCCTTGATATATTGTTCTTTATAGTAAAACCTACAGTCTTAAAATACACATATACAGTACTAATTAAGCCCTTTCTTAAAATATGTGCATTGATTTTTTTTAATCATTTAGAAAATGGGGGGTATGCTTTTGTTGCTTGCGAAATTCAAATGGAAGTTCCACATAACTTTTCAGAGCAACTTACTGTAATCTCCAAATAAATTGTGTTGTTTTTCTTTAAAAGAAGAGAAAAATCTAAAACAATCCCAGCAAAGTGAATCATTAGAAAGCAAAGATTTAATATGAAATAAATTGGCAGAGAAGGTGAGAGACAAGCTGTCTCAGAAACTAAAGCTTACAGTTAATGACTTATTTAAGCCTTTTTAAGTACAGTTATTGTACCTTTATGTATCCTAATATGACAGTATTTAAATTGGCTTTGTCTCTAACTGTCCTTTCACTTAAAGTGAGGAATTTTTGTGAACTTGTTCTCTTTAAAGGAGAAATTATTCCTCTTTGTCATGTTAAATTTCAGTCTTTTCTTCATATTAGGATAGTGGGACCACTTTATGCCTCCTAAATGTGGATTTGCTTACTGTTAAGAGTGCTGTATGTTAATTAATGTTTTTAGACTCTGTTTGGACTTTTTGCTGACACCTGAATTGGAGAGAACGTTACTTATTGGATTTGCCTATAGTTAAGAGATGAGTTATGGGAAGAAGAACTGTATCTGCTAATTAAGAGGTGGTGAAGAGATTGGGAAATTGTTTAGACACCTCAAGATGAGGGTGTGAAGTTGCTTTCTTAGGGTTTTTCTTTCATTTTTTCTTTCTTCTTTGCTTTCTTGCACCTTTTTTTTCTTTTTAGTTTGTATTATCTTTTACTATTGCAATTAAAACTTTTAATATTTTATTTTAAAAAAGGAACCTGAGACAGCAGAAGGAATAAATTGTTCTTGCAGAAGAAAAGAACATTACTTCAGAATAGGAAAGTGTCATTGTTCTGTAATTCCCAAATTAATTTAGCAAGGAAGGTAATGAATATGAACAAAACATATTGTTGCAATCAAATGCAAGCCAGCTAAGACCTTGAAGAAGATTATTTCTTTAAAAATAAGCACGCCAATAAAATTAAATCTCTGGTTTAGAATAGCAGCCATCTTCCTTAGGGAAGACATATAGGTCAGCAGTATTGCATACGCTTTGCATGACAAAAGGACCAGATGCACTCCTTACCATCTCTACAGAGATGCGCTCATCAAAATCCCACCTGTCTGCTGTCAAGTGGTGCAGATATTCTTGAGCTTCTTGGAGTCTTAATTAGACTTGACCTGAAGCACCTCCATATAATCTTCAGCTCTCAGTATAATGCAGGTTCCATGCATAGGTAGATAGCGATAGATAGATATAGTATGAGTATAGAGTATAGATCTCTAAATGAGATCTACTTATGCATCTACCTAAATGGAATATCTAAGAGTCATAGGGAACATTCAACTTGCCTATTTAAGAAATATATACATTCTAGTGAAATTTAAGCATAGGCACCTAAATACAATCCATTTAGTTTGGTTACTGAATTAACCAATTTCCTGGGTTAATCAGGGGCTGCCATAAAGAAGAGGGAGTCAAGCTATTCTCCAAAATACCTGAGAGCAGAACAAGAAGCAAAGGTTGGAAACTAATCAAGGAGAGAAGCAACCTAGAACTAAGGAGAAATTTCCCCACAGTGAGAACAATTAACCAGTAGAATGACTTGCCTCCTGATGTGAATGCTCCAACACTGGAAGTTTTTAAGAGGAGATTGGATAATCATTTGTCTGAAATGGTATAGGGTTTCCTGCCTGAGCAGGGGGCTGGACTAGAAAACCAAGGTTCCTTCCAACTTTGTTGTTCTGTTCTGTTCTGTTCTGTTCTGTTCTGTTCTGTTCTGTTCTCTTCTCTTCTCTTCTCTTCTCTTCTCTTCTCTTCTCTTCTATTCTATTCTATTCTATTCTATTCTATTCTATTCTATTCTATTCTATTCATAATACACTGGAGCAGCTAACTGGAGGTTATCCACATTAACCATTCACACATAGAGATCAATACACGAAAACAGTTAAACCTAGCAAAGATGTGTAACTGACTTAGTGGAACCTGTTGTGTGAATACAACTAATTCATCACAACATTGGTCATGTTTAAACAAATGACATAATTATTATCACAATACTTGAATGAAATGATAATGGAAAAACGGATCTGAAATTGCATCCCCACCCCCCCAAACTGACAAACAGGCAGGCAGGTAGACAAAAGCAGCTAATTTTATAGAAATGTTGAATGGTATTACATCATACAATATATAAGAAATTCTAGGGATTCTTTTTGTGACAAGAGAAGACTACATTCCAGTTTAGCTGTGATGATTGTGTCAAGCAAAGTCAAACTTAGTGTCAAGTTAAGCCTTAATTCTTTTCCCCCCTAAAATGGAATAGATGCCCAATATTTTAAGGTCTACCATAACTTGAATTTGATATTGTCTTTTCCTTTTGCTCATAAATTTATTAAACATTTCCTTATAAAAATGGACAGTATATCCATGTAATCAGTGGCTTAAAGCACTGGCCACATACATTTCCTCAACACCACTTCTGTGGCCCTGAGAATATTCCCAGAGAAGTTGAGGGGTACTTTTTGGTGGTTATCTGAAGATTTTAAGGGAGAACTAGAGTCACTTATTTCATCTTCTTAAACCCCAAAGCAGCAACAAAACATGGCCCAATTTTTCCAATTAGTTTACAGGATGAAAGAGTTGGCTTTCATTATTTCAAGCACTAAAAATATTTACCCATCCCCAAAGGTTGAAATGGTTCTCTCCCCCATTGACCTCCTAATATCAGCAACTGTGATCCATGTGATTTCTGGAAGCAAAGCATTTCTTTAAATAAGCTGAATCATAAATACATCTCTCTTTTTCTAGTTGATGAAGTAAAGAGAAGTTGTGGTGAAACAGGAATGGATTTTTAATAGCCCATCTCCTGCACATTCTGGGATTAAATATATGCTCAGAGTACTATTTAGCCTTCCTTAATTTCAAATGACTTAAATCTCTGCAAGACTTAAATCAAACACTTTCATTCTTTAACATGCCTCAATGAGCTATTATGCAAACACTTGCTGTATGTCAATTATCCAGCAAATATCTCAAAGTAAATCCCACAAGCCTGAATTCCACCCATCCCTACTCAAAGGATTATATTGCTAGCATGCCTGAAGAAAAGTATGATCATTTGCAATGCACTCTGCTTAGAAGAGGAGGAAAAAATGGATCACTTTCCTCCAAGATTGGGCAGAACAAAAATATTCCCAACTCCAGTCCTTTATATACCATATTGCCATAATTGGTAATCTTTGTGATGATTTATCCTTTCTTTCCCCAAAACGACTAGCCACAGAAATATATTCATGACTACGTAATACAGCACACTTTCTTAACCCAATTCAGAAGCCATCAACAATGGGTGGCGTGTTTCTACAAAACCATTTTTGTAAGGTGGGATTTGAGGAAAAAGACCACCAAGAAGGAACTTTTGTAACTATCTCCAAAACAGACAAAGATCCACTGAGTTAACAAACATGAACACCTGCTAAGAAACTGGTAACTTTCTGAAGTGTCGATTAATTCAGCCTGACGATACTCATGCTGGCTAGTTACTTATGTCAAGTCAGATAGTAACCTATCTGAACCAAAGCCTAATGTACCTGGAAGATAACAAATTAAATAAGGTTGTTACGTTCTCTGCTTCCATGCAGCAAGCTTGCTCTTTAGAATAGTGGACAGTATACCTAATATTTCTGCCATTGACTGCCACAAACACATCATCTCCAGTCAAGCAGAGTTGCTATGGATAAATTGCTTCCAGGTAGAAATTTCCTTTCAATAACCTAAAGCTTTTTTTGACTGGAGAGGAAGAGCTTGTCATTAGTCATCTTTGCACAGTCTTATATATTACTCTACTTTCTGATACAGGAATTATTATTAACAAAGATCTGGCTAAGCCAGAGGAACAGGCTGAAGAATGTCCTCATTATTTCTAATCATGTCTGAATGGGCTCTTCTGCCTATAGATAACACAATGATCCAGGATCAGTCTTAGACAAATAAAACCACATTGTGTTGGCTGCTAACAAGGCACAGAAACATACCCTATTTTCCTGTGAGAAGTTGACAGTAACTACCACTGACATTTGTGACAGGTGAGCAAGCTAAAAATAATTACCCAAGTGCATAGCCCATCTGTAAAAAAAATTCAGTGTGTCCTACAGTAGTCTCTGCAATGTAGTTGCATGTGCCCTGAATTAGTGATTTAAGACAGAAGCGCTGCTTTTCTAGAACGAAACATGGGACAGGATTTTGCGCTTGCCAACATGAGCTGCATCCCAATCGTACAGGTTTATTGATCCAGAAATCAATAAAAGATGTTACACATTGACAAGACTTTGACTGTACTTTACTCCATTCCTGAAAATTAATATATTCCAGTTTTCTACCTGTTTCAGCAATATAAACAGTTATCAAAAGGCTTGCCATAATTGTACAAGATTTATTAGTTTCTATTTTCTTGCTATGATAGTTTTAACAGCATTCAATGAATACTGGTTGACCTGCCTGACAAAAATATTAGCTTCTACATATATATTGTAAGAATTCTGAATAATCTGGTGAAATAGTGGTCAAAATACTGTGCCTTCTTCCTTACTTTCCATAATTCTATGTTATAGTTTGTGTCCATAAAAGAATAGCCTTACAAACATATCCATCAAAAGAATAGCCTTAAAACCTTAATAATTCATAACTCATAACATTACAAACTTGATAAACTCCATAAAAAGAATACAAATTTCTCCATAAAAAATAGCCTTACAGAAAATGGGAGGGAGGGAGGGAGGGAGGGAGGGAGGGAGGGAGGGAGGAAGGAAGGAAGGAAGGAAGGAAGGAAGGAAGGAAGGAAGGAAGGAAATGGCTTTGGCTTCGCTTACATATGGAGTGGAGTGGTATTTAAAGGATAGATTTCACCTTTTTATTCTGCGAACAAAAAGTTACATTTTAAATAGTTTATATAAACTATTCATAATACAGATTATGCTTAGAATTCCCATATCACCCACCCCTACAAAGACATGCACAGATAAATAATCAATCCACTTTCACTACCCAAACTGCAACTCCCCAAAAGAAACCCAAACTATTTAGATAGATTGCTGGATGTGGGGTCTGGGAAGCAGGAGGGCAGCTGTGGGGTGGGGTGGGATTCATTGTATCAGAAGTGACTTCAGGTTAGCAATCATTCAGCTACCTGCTGAATTAATGTTACTATAAATACTTAGTAGATCCCAAGCAATCATATTGGACTGTACTAGCAATCCTGTTTGATATGATACACAACCGCAACTGCAATTGAACTGTTCTCTCTGGGTTGCTCATCCAAGAACTAGATTACTTGTGCTTAATGATTCATTGATCAACTTCTATCATAATACTGTTTAATTGCTTTATTTTTTTTACATTTTTCTTCAAGAACCTTACTTTTTTTAAAAAATAATTCCATGTAAATGGAGCCACTCTACCATTAATATTACCAACATTTCTAGATATTATAAAAAAGAAGAAAAACTATTCTCCTTCTTATAGACATGCCAAAATCAGAAGCCAAGGTATTCCCATGCCTATTTTTAAAATACTCAATGGGAAATATAAATCCTTTGCAGTGATGACTTCCCATTTCAGCCTTTCGGTCAACGTGGTGTTCATCAGGACTTATTGGACAGTAGCTAACAGTTGGCAAGATGAAGGGGATTTCTAATACCACAAATCTGTAGGCATCCAATTGGAAGAGACTGTTGTTTAACCACTCAGAAATATACCTCCTTAATTCACATCAGGGCCTCCACATTTCTCCTTATTGATCTTTGCAAACTTGTCCTTCAGGTAAAATTCCACGGTCTTGCTCTTTTCATCCTGGTAGAGAAGATGGAAGATTTTTTCCCCAATTCTGTCAGGGAAATACTTTAAGAGCTGACCAGCTGCTACAATGATATAAGGCAGGGAATGAATCAGCAAGGTTTTTGGGGTGATATGACTTTAAGAGGCTGTATATATAAGAGAGGCCCTGTGAGAGCGTCTCTCTCTTCGTGTGTGTTTCTGTGCTATAGTTGATGATTGATTGCCTGATTTTTGCCTAGTACGTGTATGTATATATTCCTTGTAAATAAACCACTATTTGAAACACAAACCTCTGTTTACAGTATTTTGATCCTGGGTTGTCTCAAAATAGTCACACTGTGAACACTCTGACAAATTCCTTTCCATTTTAAATTCTTATTCATTTCACTGTGGTTATAGGCTCAAGTGCTAGTTCATTAAAAAAAAAGTTGGCATTCTTAAAAGAAACCATTTGAATGAGAAGAGGAACTGCTCTGCCTGCAAGGAGTGGCTCTAGGTAGAAATAGGTTCTAAATAATTGAGCAGAGAGCATGACCATGGATTTGTCATCAGTGAGTAAATGTATAATATACTCTATGCAGCACCACCAAGGCAGCCAGTATTCAAGAGAGCATTCACAAAATAATATCCTTTTTGGTCTCCTTGCTGTAGCTTCCTAGCCAAATCTACTTAAGTCTTGCATGATATGTGCCTGGAGCTTGCATAGCTGTTTTCCCTGGTTGTTGCTTAATCTTTTGTTGTCAGTTTCCCTTGTCAAGCCTTGTCTTCCTGCCCAGCTAACTAACTAGTGAATCTCCCAATCTGCACTGGCACTTGCAGGCGTTAAGTGTACAGTGTGACCCAAGTCTAGATTAAACAAAATTCAGTATTGTTTTAAAAAGTCAGACTCTTAGTGAACAACAATTGCTTTTAGTCGTTTACTGCAATAGAATTATACCACTGTTTAAGTTAAGAGAATATATATCCTGAATGGTCTTGTAGAAAACTGGGACAATAGATAAATAAATGAATACATATGAGGTATCTGAGAATAATCTACAGGCCCATTCCAGCTCAATTTCCCAGAATAACAATGAAATTTCACCTTAGGTGTAAGGACTACAGCAGATCCTCCACTGATACTAACGATAGGTACATAGGTCTGGGATGAGATGAAATCAAGGATCTGTGCCACAGCTTCTGTACCAATGTTGTCCTCAAAGACAATTCCATGGATTTTTGTGCTGGAGAGCATGTCACAGATTTGAGTCAAGAGTGTGCTGGGATTAGTGTCATTAACCACCACGGTGACTGGATGGACCTCTAGAGGCATGTCCAGGAAGGTCTGGTATGTTAGTCGGCTCCGGATATGGAGAGAGTATGAAGAGCTGCTGAAAACCACAGCCACGTTTACCACAGGTTCCCTGGAGTTTGGCACCGAAGTATCCATTAGGGCAGCTGAACAGCCCAGCACCATAGACAGCACCAGGGTGTTTGCCAATGTTCTGTCCATGGCCATTAAGGAGCCCCTGAAAGTCAGAACAAAGATAAATTATGGAAAGCGTCCAAGGGAGGAATGAGTGGAAAGTACAGATGATGCATTTTATCAGTTGGATCTTGGGGAGCTATTTTACACAGTGTATTTCAAGAAACCTGACTACGTCTCTTAGCATACAAGACCCAGAGGGTCAACCACAACTCTAGGATAAGCACATTTATTTATTTATATCCTGCTTTTATTATTACATACCAATATTTTTTCCTCCTCCTATTTTCCCCACAACTACTACCCTGTGTGGTAGATTGGGCTGAGAGAGAGCGACTGGTCCAGAGTAATCCAGACAGGACTTGTTGAGAAGAACCCAGGCTGACAGGGAGCAAGGATCAAGCACATATTTAGCCTGGAGTTACTGCATAACACAATAGTAGCTAGCTTAAACTCTGCACGTGTGGGTCTGATAGGACTAAAACTCATGATCTCCCAGTTTCTAGGCTGGTGCCTTATACACTAGTTCAAACTATAATCTATGGTTTTCCAACATTGAATAGTTTCTTCATTTTTATCTGTAGACTTAGGGGGGAAGTCTTAAATAGGCATCTAGGAATATGTAATGGGTGAAACAGTCCTGAATTATAGAAAAATAAATTCTATCAAATACTACTAAGCAATAATGGTATGGGGAGATTGCTTACTTTTGAGATTGATACCCCATCATGTCTCCATTCTCAAGGGATCTTCCACAAGTATGTCTCCTCATTTTATCCTACAATAACAATTCTGTGAGGTCCATTGGAGTGGGAGAGTACCTGATCCAAAGTTACACAGAGCATTTTCATGGATGAAGTGAACCTTGGTTCTCAATCCTAGCCCAACATTTGACCTATCTAGCATTTCAACCCTACTGACTCCCATTCTCTCATAATCCAAGACCTCTTTGCCTCATCCATCCCTGCTCTATAATTAAGCATGTCATCTGTTCATCAAGTTTCCTTCCCCCATTTCTATTTTCCTTACTGTCTTACATTCATCCTTATTAAGGCTCTTCCTTTGTTTTATCAGTTGAACCATTGCAATGCTTTGTACAAGGAAATTCCCCTGAAGAGTATCCAGAAGCTTCAGCTGGTACAGAATGCCGCAGCACAGGCAATTATGTGCACTCCTAGAACAGCACATGTTATACCTCCACTCCACGAGCTGTATTGGTTGCCAGTTTGCTTTCATATCTAATTTAAATGCTGGTTTTGACCTGTAAGGCCCTTCATGGCATGGGATCAGGATATCAGAGAGACTACCTCTCTTTGGTAATATAAGCCTTCCCCAAGAGATTTGACAGAAAAGACATGCTATGGATATCATCAGCTAGGAACTTTCATTTGGTGGGTCCCAGGAGATGTATCGTCTCTTCCATGGCATCCGCCTTATGGATCATTTCCACCAAAAAATTAGATTAGGTCAATCCTTTTTGACAGTCCAAGGCCCTCAAAACCTGGTTAGGTTATGGCTCCATTGCTGAGTTGGCTATTCTTATCCTCTCTTCCCTAGTATTTGTATTTCTGTTTTTTATACCAGTAGTGGGTTCCACTTAACTTCACTCTGGTTCGGAATCGGGAGCAGATGCACACTCACTTCACTCGCAAGCGGTGCTACTGCGCATGTGCAGAACCTTTTGGACATGCACAGAGCGTCCGTGATGACATCCGGGCGGGTGGGCGGAACCTCCTGCCACCACCACTACGGTTCGCCCAAACAGGGGAGAACCAGTAAAAACCCAGCAACTGTTTTATACTATTTATTTTTAAATGATGTTTTTATTCTTATATCTGTTGATTTTATATATGATTTTATTTGTTGTTGTTTTTTACACTATCCAGAATCGCCTTTGTTGAGATGGGTGGCTAAATAAAGTTTATTAATAAATAAAATAAGTGTGGAGGGCTCTTGATATTCTGTATTCCATCATTCTGTTTTACAGTCACCTTTGATACAACATATTACATCTATTGCCCCCTCAATTCTCTCTCCATCTTCATATTTTACTGCATCAAATATTTGGTTTTTGTATTCTGAGAATCATTTTTGTCTATTGAAGAAACTATCACTTTCTCACTCTACTTTGAACTTCAGACCCAGTTCTAGTTTGTGATTTTTTTGAGCTTATTTTATTGTTGAAAGGTGTCAAGAGATGTAATTTTGGAGTCCTTGGTGGCCTCTGAGCTTGGTGGTTTTCTTGCAGACATTTCATTACCAAACTAGGTAACATCATCAGAGCTAGGACTGATGATGTTACCTAATTTGGTAATCAAACGTCTGTAAGAAAACCACCAAGCTCAAAGAGCATCAAGGACCCTCAGTTCAATCCTGAGCATATTTTTTCCTAAAGATGTAATACTTGTTCCTGGCGTTTTCTGTTATGCCTCTCTTGAACAGCCTCACAACTGCCCACACTTTGCAATCCAGAAAAGGCCCATGAGAGGAAGTCTGTTGTGTGGTGAAGTGCAAAGAAGGCAAACTGTATAGTCTGTCAGACACAGAATCAGAATCATTAAAGATACAAATACTGTAATGTATTATTAAACGCCACATTCCCACATCCTCCCAGAAGAATATCATAAAATTCTATTATTCTACCCTGTTTCCCCCAAAATAAGGCATCCCCTGATAATAAGCCCAATCGGGCTTTTGAGCGCATGGCAATAAGGCCAAGCACTTATTTCAGGGTTCAAAAAAATATAAGACGGGGTCTTATTTTCGGGGAAACACGGTGCTTCATAAATATCTTTTCTTTGGAGGAAAATAATCCATCAAGCCCAATGAGAAAGGGGGGAAATGCAGTATAAATTCTTGGCACAACATTATTTTCTATTGACCGGAAGCTTTCTTGGGAAGGTCAGAGGTAAGGCTGGTGTCTGTCATGTTAAAGCTGTTGCATCTCTCTATCCCCCTCCCCATCCATCCTGCATTTCTTTCTTTCTGTCCGCCTTTTTTTTTCTGGCTAAATTAGTCATTTTTCTAAGGTGATAAAATTGGGAGTGCCAAGTGGGGCTGCTTGGGGGGGGCTGTTTCTATATTGTCTGAGGTCCATTTATGCAAGAGGAACTTTGAGTCTTTTTCCCTCCCTAAATGGTTGAATAGTGCTAGCTGTAGTTTCTTTCTGAATAAAACCTCACATTGTTATTCAGATGACCTGTGAAAGGATCCCCACTGAGCAACACATGAACAGCTTTTCTTTTCAAAAACTAAGCTGTGCATATTTATATGGTTAAATAGAGAATGGCTTATAATGGAAGACTTCTCCCACAATAATCTTTTACTCACTTCATTATCCCCCCCATTAAAAAGAGCAAAAATTAGGCTGACTAATCTGCTCTCTTTCCTCCATTTAGGCTGCTCCAATGCTAGCCTATTCTCTCTTTCTCTTTCAGACACAGACACACAAAAACAAAAAGATACAGCAACACAACTCCTCAACAATGGGGAAAGAAAGGAGTCACAGAACTCTGGGTACAACTAGGACACAAAGGGGGAAAAAAATTCAAAACCCGCTGCAGTAGTGAACATTTGCATTTATTTTCCAAAATGTGTCTTATTCAATTACTTTCACAAAAGTAATTGAATAATTTTGTGTTCGTGTGGCTGAACACAAAAAAGCTTAGCTTTCCCCCCTTTTTTTCTTAAATTTGAATTCTTTCCCTTCTCAAGTTTCCTCTATTGCCACTCAGTGGCCAATCTAGATGCTTCCTCATTGTATAATTTCCATATAGATTCACGATCCCTTTGAACTAATGTACCCAACCTTAGTTCATGTTTTATTTCTTTGTATTCTGCCCAAGAACTATTATGCTGTTCATTTTTATTCCCTATTCTTATCCTGGTTACTATGATGCTTCTACTGCTATGAAGCTTTTTTTTCTCTCCCTCACCTCATCCAGTGCAAAGTACTAAATTTGCTGATGCTTTGTATGCTGAACAAAGTGTACATAGTTAAAGTAAAAGACAATAATTCCTTATTCATCTCAATGATAACACCTCTGAAAGGAAGCATTGTCACCAGGTAAACACATAAGGCACTGGAGTGTTACTCTCTTTCTGTGTAGATAGTGTTGGAAGAAATCTCCTTCTAGGTTCTGCTCCAAGTGGGGAAAAAGACACTGGAGACATGGAGACTGCTTGGAAAGATGGTTTAATGGTGGACAGGATCACATGGCTTGAGTTCCTGAACAGAAAAGGGGGGAATACAGTAAATCCTCGGGTTTTTATGCTCTCTCTGGCTCTGCATTTCTTGGGGCCCCGAAAGAGTATCCTGATTGGTTGTCAGACTCCCAGGGGGTGGGGGTCTTAGCTAGCCTTGCTGGCTAATGGTCACATGTGCTTCCCAGGTCACATGCTTCCCAGGTCACATGTGGTGAGTTTCTGCTGCTATTGTGTAGAGGGCTAATCCTATCTTTGTTGGATCTTTGGCAATTCCTACTATGGCTCTGCCTGAAGGAGGTAGATCTTTGTTATGTAGAATAGACTGGCCGAAGCCTTAATGGCCCATTGACAAAGGGTGGGGGCAGAAAGATGGGAGCTGCTTCAAAACATGCTTATCCCAGGGAAATATAATATTCTACCTTTTTCATATTTCCTAAAATATTTTACTCTTCCAGGAAAGGGTAGGTGCTAACTTCCTACAATAGGAAGAGTAGTGCATTTTAGTTAATATCAGTGAGAATATTCATATCCAATGCAGCTGGATTGCTGAATTATGTTTTTCTTTTAGCAGAGATACAAATGTAAGAACCTAATGTATGAGAACAATGGTCTAGTCTAGAGCACTGTTTCTCAACCTTGGCAACTTTAAGTTGTGTGGACTTCAACTTCCAGTATTTGAGGGGCTGCCACAAAGAAGAGGGGGTCAATTTATTTTCCAAAGCACTAGAGGGGAAAACAAGAAACAAGGGATGGAAACTAATCAAGGAGAAAAGCAACCTGGAATTAAGGAGAAACTTCCTAACAGTGAGGACAATTAACCAGTGGAACAGCTTGCCTTCAGACATTGTAGGCGCTTCATCCATGGAGGATTTTAAAAAGAGACTGGACAGCCACTTGTCTGATTTGGTATAGGGTCTCCTGATTGAGCAGGGGGTTGGATCAGAAGACCTCCAAGATCCCTTCCAGCTCTGTTCCTGATTCTGATTCGGAACTCCTAGAATTCCCCATCCACTGTACTGGCTGCAGAATTCTGAAAGGAAGTCCATAATGTTGCCAAGGTTGAGAACTCTGTTCTAGAGAATCAGATCATTATGTCCTGAGGGCTGATAACTAAACTTAAACTGTAATATCGAGAAAATTTCCATACTTCCCTTAAGATGGTAGCAGTTTTACATTATTATCTGATGAATTCACTAATCATAAGTAATGGTTTTAAATGAATTTATATGTTACTTTTTATATATATTTTAATTTATAATTTATATTTACTTATTTCTAGTACTGATATGGCTCCCAACCAACATCACGTGGCTCAGTGTTGTACAATGGAAATAAACAATATTTAATTAAACAAAATAAATTAAAATTATATTTTATCTTTAAGGGAAGAAACACTGTTGTGATCGACAACTCCTTCCTCCTTTACATTTACTCCCCTCCCATACCCTTGTTCAAAAAAAAAAAAAAAGAATAAATAGAAGCTAAAAGCAAACCAGAAATATTTAATATTTATATGACCAATCTCTCCCTCTCCCCCCCCATCTCTTGTCACTAGGGATTGGGATTAAGGGG